CCCCAAAACCCCAAAACCCCAAAACCCCGTGATTTTAAAAGTAAAAATTCTGGAGTGAGGATAAAAAGATATTTATCTGAGATCAGAGTAATATCCATAATTAATAATATTTCCATTTTTATTCAGAGGAGTATCTACTTTGTACATTATGAGCGAAGATATTGAAACTGAGTTAAAGTCAGAAATTGAAAGACAAATAAATTAGATTGAGTAACTTACTTATCAAGTGTCAAATCAACAGAATGAAAACCTAACACTTATCAAAAAAAATAAATTATTAAAGGATTAACTGACTGAATTGGATAAAGTTATGGAAGTTTAAACTTTGGATCTGATTGGTGAAATTTCAGAAATGTAGAAGGAATTGATTGATATCACGTTTGGATATTCACAAGTAAGATCTTACTATGGTTCTGAGGTTTAAGATGTCTCTGAAGTATTAATAGGTGGCGAATTTAGTAACTGGGAAAGATTTCCTATGATTAGAATCTCAAAAGGTATCTTCATTTATAAAACTAAAGTGTTTGGTGGCTATAAACACAAGTTTAATTTTCTCGTCAATGGAAGTACAAAAACTACTACTGATGATAGTCAGCCTTTAGCCCACAGTGCATTTGAAAACAGATTAAACTCTAATTACAAATATGCAATTAAAACTTCAAATCTTAATGGTCCAGAGTCATTTTATCAAGAATTTATAGAAAAAATGCCGGAATACCTCCATCCAGAGTCGAAAAAAAAATATCTCTAGTAATACGAATTACTCGACATTCAGCTTGGCTAATTACAGACTCAAATAACTACCCTTGATTTTGAGAAGGCAGAACAACTAGAATAGCAAGAAGAAGAAACTAAAATTGAACTGTTTAAAAATTCCTTAATGAGAAATAAAAATCTTTTCGAATAAGCAAAACTTCTCGATAAAATTATGGATTACGCCAACGCAGCTTAGGAGTAGATCCTAATTGACAAAACATAAGAGCAGTTATCCTAAGTTAGAAAGGAATATGAATCTATTTTTTGCATTATACATGAAATATTTGCTGGCCGATACATTCGAAATAATGACCCTAATCCTGTCCATTACATTATTACTGGAATAAACAAATAGGTTAATGAGTTTATTTTATTGAGAATTTACGATTAAAATGGATTCTTGATAATAGAGTATATATAAGGTGATACCTATAGAATATAAATTAATGAAACAACCTTCTTGTAAAATTACTAATTCCTTACTCCTGAGGAGTAATCTGATTTTATCAATGATATGCGTACCAATAGCAACCATATCTTGACGCTTAAATATGAATTAGTTGATATTGATGGAAGCAAGCAATGCATTCCAATAGAAACTTATCCTGCAGGTATTAACTTTGAAAATGACTATGAGATTACTTCTAATTATGAAGGATATCCTACTTCAATAATAAATAAATCATTTGGAGGAATAAAAACTAGAGCAATAAGAGTTGGTTCGGAGTTCAATGCTATCAGGTCTCCTACTATCTCTATTTATACTTCTAACTACTCTGATACAGCACTTAACATTTTTCATATTCACTTAAGTGACCACAGTGAAAAGAAACAAATACTCCAGGCTGTCTATATTAGAGATGATTAATCTATTGAAGATTTTGAAGCTTGGTAAGACCAAAATAGAGAAATCTCAAGATATAAAATTGTTATCCAGCAGCAAAAAATTATAGCTGTTCTTTACAATGGTGAGAAAGGAGTTGAGAAATTATATTTTAACGAAAGAAAATTCAGCTAAGGCGATCGATGTTTAATTTAGTCAATTAATCCGCATTAATTAGGGGAAAAAAGTACAAATTTTGAGTTGAATAGAATTCCTTTAGGTCTGATCGTAGGTCTTAACTAAGAAAACTAAATCTTTTAGGATTAGCCATTATTTAAAATTCATACAGGATGTAGGGACAATTAGTATTTTGATGAGTGGCCAGGGTTTTTGGATGTCACTACTAAATCAGAAGAGGGCTGCTCAAGTTTTTTGAAAGATGGTAGAAATTTTGCAATTCCAGCTTGTGCTTTTTCTGATTTAGATGAGCTTCAAAAGCAGTACGACTATTGGAATAGATGATATTGATTTGAATCTTTAAATTACTAGAATTAGTGAAATGCTTTTGATATCCTAAATTCAAAACAAGATTAATTATTAAACTATTAACTGAACAATTTTATTGATTTTCGCACTAAGGGGTTTTGGGGTTTTGGGGTTTTGCGG